CCGCGGCCCGGCACCGAGGGCGCGGCGCGCCAGGGGCTCCTAGCCGAGCCGCAGCGAGCCGCCTGGACCTCGCCCGCCAGCTGCTACCGCACCCGAGCCGCGGCCCTACGCCACGCCCTATAAGGGGTCGGTCACGCGGCCGCGCCTAGCCAATCCGCGTCGGTCCCACCCCCGGACCCTCCAGACCCCGCCCCCGCGGCCGCCCCCGCCGGAGTCCGCGGCGGTCCTCGGGGAACGCCGAGTTGCGTGTCCCCAGCTCGAGGCAGCGTGAGCCTCTGCGTGCCCCCGGGGCGCCGCCCAAAGCCTTCGCTGCCTCTGGTTCCCCAGCTCAGCGGCCTGAGAGGTCCCCGGGTGCCCTCGCGCTCCTCGACCCCGAACAGACCCTCCCCCGTGGGGAGATGTCCGCGGCATGCAGAAGCGGCAGCCTAGCTTCCCGTTGGCGTCCACACCCCTGTCCTGCGGAGGCCATGTCGTCAGCCACTCCCTCTCGCTGCTGGCCTTCGGATGCTGAGGCTATCGTCGCCCCTCCATTTTTTTTTTTATATCCTTACATGCCCTACTTTGAAATCCCTGGCCCCTGAAGGTTTCGCAATGGACCCTGTCCAGAGTTCCATCTGCGGTTTTTCATATGCCGGACTCTGAGACGCTCCACGATCTCAGTTCAGACAGTCCTTGTTCTGCCATTCATTCTATAAACATTCAGACTGAGCCTTCGTGGTGCACCTGTTTGCCACGCCCAGGATCCACCTTCACCGAGCTGACATATTTCTACCAAAGATAGAAACCTCTATATAGCATTTAATAGGTGATAGCAGACACGGTGAGTACACCAGGATGGCTTGTGGGTCTTAACAGCGTTGGGATTAACCCCTTCCCAAATCACACTTGAGTGGCAGAGGAAGAGAAAGGGTCCTCTTCACCCTTGCAGAAAATAAACAAAGGCGGGTCACAGAGCCACAGCCCTGTGGAAGATTGGAAGGTGGGGGTCTCTCTGCCCTGCTATTGCTTGGATCTGAGATGTTGCCCCAAATCTCGTGTGTTGGGCTTGGTCCCCATTGCAGCAGTAATCAGAAGCGAGGGCTTTGGGATCACGAGAGGGCTCTGACCTCATGAATGGATTAATCCGTTGATGGATTCATAAAGTGATGGGCTGCTGGGAGGCTGTCAAAAGCAGAGATGGGACCTAGCTGAAGGGAGTGGACTGTTGAGGGGCATGCTACCGGGGTGGGGCTGGGGGCCGTATGGGTCTACAGTCCTTTCTGTGTGTCTCATTCTTCTATCTCCCTCCCTCCCTCCTCTCTACTTCACCTTTTCTGTCATGATACAGGCTCAAACAGTGGTGCCACAGAAACCATGGGCTGAAACGTCTGAAACTGTGAGCGATAATACACCCTTCCTCCTCTAAGTTGCTCTTGGTGAATGAAAGCTGATCCACACGTGCCTCCAGCGTGCTCCTGGGAGGTGAGGTGTGCAAAAACCAGACCTAGCAGAGGACACAGCCAGGGCAGTCCACTGCTGGAAGTGGGATGGATGCTCTCCTTGTTGGCATCAGACACATTCCAAAGGATCCCACGGGCTGCACAAGAACACAGACGGCAGGACACAGTACATGGGGACTTAGGAAGCAGAGGCAGGCAGCAGCTTATAAGAAACAGTTTTAACTTCACGTAATGAAAAGCTGGCTCTAGGACCATTGTCTTCATCCCCCTTCTTTCCACGATCACTGTATTCTCCCTTTGTCTTCACGCTCGTTACCTTGTGACTCAAGGGCTGCCATGCTATTACACCTTTACCACATCAAGCAACGGAAGGAAGGTATAAAAGTACCTATTTTTAAAATCAGTTTATTATATCCTTTTATAATGAAGGAAAGATTTTGTCCAGAACTCTTAAACTTTTGATTTTTTTCACTTTAAAACATTTATTTACTTTAAGATTTATTTTTGATGGGCTGTGGAGATAGCTCCAAGGTTAAGAGCACTGGCTGTTCTTCTAGAGGATGGGAGTTGAATTCCCAGCACCTACATAGCAACTCATGCTGTCTATAACTCCAGTCACAGGGGATCCAATGCCTTCTAGCCTCCAAGGGCACTGAATGAAAATAGTACAACAAACAAACATTCAGACAAATACTCATACAATGAAATAAAAATAAAATCTCAAAAAATTAAAATTTTAAAATATTTTTGAGGTTGGATGTGATGGACACATCCTTTAATCTAGACACTTAGGTGGCAGAGGCAGTTTTATCTTTGTGAGTTTAAGTCCAGCTTCATCTATGTTCAAGTTCAACCTTGTCTACACAGCAAGTTCCAAACCAACCAGACCTATATAGTGAGACTCTTTCCAAAAAATAATAATAATTTTGTTTTTAATTATACGTGTAACACTGTCTGCATATGGGTGTGTGTGTGGATCTTACGGCCCTGGATCTAGACAGGTGGTTATAAACAATCTACTGTGGATACTCCACTGTGGGTATTTGCCAGTCCATTTATTTACTTCCCCACATCACCAATTTCCTATCTCACCAGAAAGGCTAAACACCACTGAGTAGCTGACATTATTGGTGTTGTATAATAGTTTCCTCCAGACTGAAACATTCTTTCCTTCAGAGAAGTGTGGTCGGATTTTTTTGTCAGGCCATTTGGCTCACCAGTAATGACAAGAAGACTTATTATTAATTATGAAACATTGGCCAATAGCTTAGGCTTGCTTTTAGCTAGCTCTTATAACTTAAATTAACCCATTTCTATTAATCTATGTGGTACCCCAAGGCTTATTTACCTCATCTATGTACTGTCTATCCTGCTTTCCTGCCTCCTCAATGTCTCCTCACATCTCTACCCTATCCTGTGCCTGGAAATCCTGCCTAGCTATTGGCCATTCAACTTTTTTATTAAACCAATCCAAATGACACATCTTCACCGTGTACAAAAACATTATCCCACAATATTTCCCTCCTTTTGTCTAAGTAAAAAAGGAAATGTTTTAACTCTAACACAATAAAACTATATATAGGTAGATGGATTTTTCTTTGGGCAGCCAGCTCCAAAATAATGACATGGAGATTTCTTGTTAATTATAGCTCAGTCTTAATTTAGGTTTGTTTCTAATTAGTTCTTAGAACTTAAATTAACACATATTTTTTAAATCTACGTTCACTTGTGTGGCTCAATACCTCATCTCTCTGTTCTGCCCATCTTGCTTCCTCTGAGCTGACTGGCAACTCCGCCTTTCTTCTTCCCAGAGTTCTCTCTGTTCCTGAAAGTCCCACCTAACCTCTTCCTGCCTAGCTATTGGCCATTCAGCTCTTTATTAAACCAGTCAGAAGGCGCCTTGGCAAAAGACACATCTTCACGGTGTAAACAAACATTCCTCAACATTAAAACAGAGATTTGTTTGTTTGTTTGGTTGGTTGGTTTTTTTGTTTTTGGGTTGTTGTTTTTTTTAATTTTTTGAGACAGGGTTTCTCCATGTAGTTTTGGTGTAGACCAGGCTGCCCTCGAACTCACAGAGATCTGCCTGCCTCTGCCTCCCAAGTGCTGATATTAAAGGCGGGCACCACCGCTACCCAGCAAGAGAAGATTCTATTAACTACATAGAATATAATATAGGTTTACAAAAAATTTAGCCAGAGAAAATACAAATCAGGAGAGATCAATTGCAAACACTTGATAATTTTCAAAAATTGTTGGGAGATATTAACTGGCTACATCCCACAATTGGATTGACAACTCAAGAACTAAGTAATTTATTTTAAACCTTACAAGGTGTTAAGGACTTAAATAATCCAAGAAAATTATCAGCTGAGGCTGAGAAAGACTTGGCATTGGTAGAAAAGAAATTACAGGATGCACATGTGGATCAGTTGGATCCAGAGCTTGATTGTATTCTGGTTATTTTACTTTCTTTACATTTTCCTACAGGAATTCTTATGCAGAGAGAAGATAATGTTCTGGAATGGATATTTTTGCCACACAAACAGTAAAAAATAAAAGACCTATGTAGAAAATGTTTCTGAATTGATTCTAAAAGGAAAATTAAGACTTTGTTGATTAATAGGAATAAACCCAGTAGAAATTGTGGTACTTGTATGGATGCTTAAATTTACTCATTATGGACAGAAAATGAATATTAGCAAAAAGCTTGAAGTAATTTGTTAAGAGATTAGCAACAAATATCCCAAAAGCAAGAGAATTCAGTTTACAGAGAGAACTAATTTGTTCATTGTATGATGAACACCAATTTATGGAGACCCTACATTCTATACTGATGCAAATAAATCAGGAAATGTAGATTATAAGTCAAGAAATTTAAGTAAAGTGGCTCAAAGTTCTTATGATTCTGTTCAAAAGTCAGAATGATGTGTTATTCTCATGGTATTGTTAGATTTCTCAAAACCTCTTAATATAGTTACTGACTCTTAATATGCAGAAAGAGTTGTATTATATATTTAAATAGCTGGACTTATTCCAGATGATTCAGAATTAGCTTTGTTATTTATTCAATTACAAGAAATAATTTATTCAATTACAAGAAATAATCAGAAATAGAAATCATCCTTTGTATATAACACATATCAGATCCCATACAGGTCTACCACAAGGTAATGATGAAATTAATCAACTATTGGTAGGAAATGTGCTAGAAGCCTTAGAATTTCATAAAAAACACTATGTTAATAGCAAGGGTTGAAGAAAGATTTTTCTATCACTTGACAACAAGCCAAGGAAATTATGAAGAAATGTCTTACTTGTTCTTTGTGTAACCAAACTTCACTACCTGTATGAAGTAACCCAAAGGGTTCTCAAAGAAATGAAATTTGGCAAATAGATGTGTTTCATTTTGCAGAGTTTGGAAAATAAAAATATGTATACCATACCATAGATACATATTCAGGATTTCAATGGGCAACTGCTTGAGTTCTGAAAAGGCTGATTCTGTAATCACACATTTGTTAAAAGTTATGGTCATTATGTGGATACCTGCACAAATTAAGACTGACAATGTTCCCACATATGTCTCTAGTAAAATGAAACAGTTTTTTGCATGTTACAACATAGAGTATATTCCAGGTATACTACATGATCCTAAGGGCAAGCAGTTGTAGAAAGATCTAATTGAACTTTAAAAGATATACTTAATAAACAGAAAGGAGTAATAAAGATCCCCAGAGATAGATTGCATAATACTTTATTAACTTTAAATTTTTTAAATGCTAATGAGAAAGGAATGACAGCTTCGGAGAGACACTGCATAGTAGGAAAAAACTGCTGAATTAAGTCAGCCTGTGAACTTTAAAGATGTGTTGACTTCAGAATGGAAACCAGGATATGTGCTATGTTGGGGAAGAGGTTTTGATTTTGTTTACACAGGAGAAGAAAAGCTATAGATACTATCAAAATTTATAAAGATTAGATTCAAACAGGAGAACCCTCTTGATTAGAAGAGTCAATAGTTCATCAAACAGTGTGGCCATTCAAACTAAACTAACATATAAGACTACCAAATGCCTTTCATTTGATTATATGTAACTTACCAAAAAGGGAACCTCCTCAAAATTGGGGTTGGAGCAGAGTTTTGTGTTTGTCTTTCCAGGAGAATGAAGCATCCAACTAAGGAATCTGAAGACTACTGAGACATCTGAAGAAAGAGGAAGAATCATCCAGAGAAAGTGTCCCATGATAAAGAGTAAATTGGCCTAATGATATAGCACATTTCCAACAGGATAAAATATCATAAATCTTCCCAAATGTTTGTTTCTGCTGTTCTCTACAGACATATAAGGCATATGGTCTTTTTATAGTCCCAGTTCAATTGAAAATTAAAGCTGGCTTTGGGGTTGGAGCATGGCTCTCTCCTTCTCTAAACCCAAACATGTCTGTTAAAGGAAAATCCAAAATCTCTGTCTCATGTGAGAAGAGCCACCTGGTATGGGACAGAAGAAAAATCAAAATTAAAGGATTATTTTATTGCTACTAATCTCATAATCCTTTAGTTTTGATTCTTTAAAACTTTTCTTAAGGTATAAATATTATCTCAAAAATTTATAAGATTAATATATACATATATTAATATATGCAGTCAGAAGTTTTCTCTGGTCCCACCAAGCCCCTACAGTCCTGTGGCCTGCTTATAAAATAATCACTCAGAAGCTTATATTAATTAAACTGCCCAGCCATTAGCTCAGGCTTACTGCTGACTAGCTCTTACACTTAAATGAACCCATAATTCTTATCTGTGTTTAGCCACATGGCTTGGTACCTTTTCTCAGTTCTGCCTTGTCATCTTGCTTCCTCTGTGTCTGGCTGGAGACTCCTGACTCAGCCTTCCTTTTCCCAGAACTCTCCTAGTTTGCTTATCTCACCTATACTTCCTGCCTGGCTACTGGCCAATCAGCATTTTATTAAACCAGTGTACAAGAGCATTATCCCACAACATATATATTTAAACTTTCT